TATATGAATAAGAAAATCATAAATAAAGCTCAAAAGTATCTCTCAAATTTTATCAAAATTCATATGTCATCAACAAAGAATCATCCAAGCCACGAGCCTCTTCGTGGAACTTCATATAAGCAAATCTTGAAAAAATATATATATATCATGTAAAGCTTGAAATGCAACAAATCATGTAAAAATATTTCTTCTTGCATTTTTAGAAGCAAACTCACTAATTAAAGTTTCGTAATCAATATTTTCGAGAAAGTCTTGCTTAATAGATATCAAAACTAATCCATTCAATTGTTCTTGTAACATGGTTGATCACAAATAAAATTTTAATAACTTCAATCTTGAAAAGCTTCGTTCAGCACTTGCAACAGTAACATGAATTGGCAATAATATTCTATAAGCAATACATATATTCGGAAAAGCAATCCAATATTTTCAAATAAATTAATATATCAAAAGCCATTTTTATTCCTTTTGGTAAAAGATTTTGCAAAACTTTTAACTCTTGAAATAAATCCTCTCCATCAAGATTGAAAAATTTATGTTTTAAAACAATATCAAGATGATCACAACATGCTCTCAAATTAGAATCATCCAAAGCGAATTTAGTTTTTAATAAGTTCTTGCAAAACAAATTCAAATCAGTGAAATCACTAAACGAAATTGACGAAAAGATAATAGGTAATTCAGGTTTTTTATGAGGGTTTAATAAAAAATACAAATCATTAATCATCACTTAAGGAAAAGAGAGAATTTTTTGGAGTCAGATCAAAGATGATTGGAGAAAAATACTATTTCTCTAAAAAGACGATTGATTTCTCTCTTCTCTGCCTCAGTTATCTTTGAGGTGATTGGAAAAGATGATTGGTTTATTTAATTCTTTTCTTCGAAAAGGCGATTGGAAAATGTGGTTGTTCAATTTTTCTTTCTTTTTGGCCTGATCTCTTTTGGACTTTTCACTTTTCACTCACATTATTTAAGGTAGAAATACTATTTAAAAATATTATATTCAATGAAAGTATAATAAGTTTGTCACATTATTCTTAATTTTAATATTTTATGTATAATAATAAAAATTTTACATTTTAAAATTAATATATATTTTAAATATTTAATTATAAATAAATATAAAACTATAACAAAAATTTTTTTGGTGCCCCTACAATTTTGAGACCCTGTGCGATCGCTCAACTCGCACACCCTCAAGGCCTCCTCTGCATAAGCGATTATCAAAAATTATGTGGAGTGAAAAGATTTGATATAAAAGTTAATAATGTTTTAAACTGAAAAATGATAGAGTGTTATGTGGACATTGTGTGAGCCCTTATATAAATCTTGATATATATATATATGTGTAACAATGTCCAAAATATTAAGTCCATGTTTGAACCTTATTTATTTATTTATTTATTATTATTATTGGAACTTACTTTTAGTTATCCATTTTATAGCTTAATTTTTATCAAATTTTTAATCATATATTCTATCAATTTTTATTAAAATCTACTAAAAATCTAATTTTTAGCAAAACCAAACATGAACTACGAAACTGGATATTTTATTTAATAATTCATAAATTCATATGTGTGTGTGTGAAAAATCTCTAATTTTTATTTGTTACCAAAAATACAAGTCTTCGTAAAGTCGTAAAACCATGTATGAGGGGTTGAAGGTTGATGAATGCCTAGTGTCAAAAGGTCAAGGAAGTTAATGACCTGATGACAGGTGAGTTGAAGCCTCGTGAATGGCGATAGTAACTATAAGGGAAAAAATCATATTTAAGGTGTATTCTTTACATCATTTTAAAAATCAAGTAAATAGTATGAAAATTCAAAATTCGGGTATATTATTAATTAATTTAAAATATTTATTAAATAAAGATATTAGAATCACAATTAAACGATTAATGGTCACAGATTCATAATTATACGTCACAGATTATTTCGTGGTCACAAATAAAAAATTTTGAAGTCACAGATTATTTCGAGATCACAGATCATTCATATTATAGGTCACATTTTTATCTCTGTGTCACATGGGTCACAAATTATTTTTTTTAGTCACAAATACATAATTTTTTGTCACAAATGAGCGAAATAATTGGTCACAAAAGCCTAAATAATTAGTCACAAAGTCCAAATAGTTGGTCACGAATTCCAAACACCTTCCCACCGATCCAGCATCAATCTTGATCAAAAATCACCGCCACCCAATTGTCGCTTGCATCACACCACCGCAACCACCACACCACTGCATCACCGTACCCTATCCCAATCCCATTCCACCACAATACTTGGTCACAAACACTACCCACCCTTGCCACAACACCATCAACCGCCATCGCTGCCACGACAACTTGCGACCGCCCTCACCTTACTACCGCCGTATGCACCAGAATAGCACCACCACCAACTCCAACACTAATGCCACAACGTGACTACCAACAAAATTGCCGCCACTAGATCCAATCCACAACCAACAAAATCCACCACTATCGTGTCTTCAGCCACCAACAACCACCTCCACTACAAACCACCACTACTGCATTACCACTACCACCACTAAAAATCCAACAACTAAAACAATCACTAACGACCAAAACAAAAAAAAAAAAAAATGACCAAAAAATTCACATCGACCCTTCATTGCCACCGCTCATAGAGATCCAATCAGTATCATTACTGGCATCACACACAAAGATCCAATTGCTTCCTGTGAGTATGAGAAGGGATAAAGGAGCAACTACAGCAATCAGTTCTCTCTGTAAACTTCACGTTGATTGCGCTATTGGTCCAACGACAGAGAGAAGGGAGATGACGAACGGAAAGGACAGTAAGGAGAAGAGAGAGAGATTTAGGTTTTGAATTTGGGGATGAGGTGGATGTTAGGGGTGAGGTTTCTCTCAGTAAATTACTCATCGACTGCGCTATTGATTCGACAACAGAGAGAAGAGAGTGAAAAGAGAGGTTTAGGTTTTGAAATTGGGGATGGGGTGACGTCGAGGGTGAGATTGAATGGTAGATTAATTATAATATCAATATATGTTTAATTAATTACCAGAATTGTGAATAAATAAACCTCATCTCTGATTTATGAATTATGATATTTAAATACCTGTTGGCTTGTAATTTCCTATAACTATAATGGTCATGGGCGGATCCAGGGACGGGTTGGGCCGTGCTACAACCTGTCCCTTCGGCCAAAATATCCATTAAAAAAAATTAAGTGAAATATTTTTTTTATATACGTATTAGTCGATGTTGAATTTTTTCTTGGATCCGCCACTGATAATGGTCTTAAGGTAGAAAAATTTCTTGTCGAGTAAGTTCTGACCAACACAAAAGGATTACATAGTAATTAATTAAATTTGTGTGCGCAAGTTAATTAAATAATTAATAAAGGAAAGGTAGGATTGATCAATTAAAGCTCACTATTGCTGAGATACTCCAACTCAATAATTTTAAAAAAGAATTTTACATCTTTGACAGGTATTCTTAACGATAAGAGTCTTGAAAACTTTTTGAATCAATTATTTTGGAGGAAGGGAAATTGTGATAAGACATTATTTTAGTAAGAATCCCTTTTCGAACTAAACGTTGATTGTGTTTTATAAATAAAAATGCATATACTTTTATTTATTTGGTCGAGTTTCTAACTTAATATCATTAGGTGATGTCAATATAGGTTATAAATATGTCTTTTAAATTTGATGTGAAAGACTTGAGAGATTAATGTTACTTTAGTATCGTAAAATGTAAAACGAAATAAAAATAAGCGAGAGTACGTTTTAAAAATAATGTTTCTATAAAAATCGAGCAATTATGTCGTGACCATGTGTGACAATTAGATATCAATCTTTGGAGTATATTTGGTTCATCGAATTAGAATGAGAAAAAACAAAAAAAATAAAAATTGATGAGTTAGCGGACGAAAATTTTGTAGATCCTCATTTCAATATGGAGGGTTAGACCAAATTGTGGAGGCTACAAAGGTGACAGTTGATGCTCCGACACCGGAAATGGAGGGAATTACCGATTTACAAAGGAAGTACCTCGTGAAAGCAAAACTTATCAATTTACCATTTGCCGTAGATATCCTTAAATTGATGTATACCAAAATAATTTACAAATGCTCCTAGATATGCACTTCCCTAGTATTAACATTTTCGAAGTGTTAAAACATGTCATCATATTTTTTCAATTTTCGAGATTTGGTTTGAATATAAAAAATAAATTTCACGTCGATCATAAATAAAATCAACAATCAACACGAAGATGTTAACTGCTCTTAACAAAATTGTCCTACAGAGTCACAAAGATGTAATCGTAAGTCTCAATAACGATGAACTTGAAAAACGTTTGTGATTAAGAGAATTCAAAAGTGGGTTCTCACTTGAAAAGTCATCCCCATTCTTGAAAAGAGATAATGAATAATATGGTTAAACTGTTGCATTGATAATATTTTGGAAGCTAAACCTTCAAGTTATGGGAACAAGAAATTCATTACTTATGAAAAATGAAGGTTTAATTTAAGCATTTCTGCAACAATAGATAAATGCTTAGCTCCTGCTTTTCTACAGAAGTAAAAAGAATCTGTTGAGACTAACTTGCTACAAGCTTGGAAGAATGAGGAGACGCTGAAAAATTATAAGTTAACAGATCAATTTTTTAGTAATTTTATTATTTTCTACTGTCAATGATCTACTCTAGAATAAAGGTATGGAGACCTAACCATGTCCATTTTTGTCTCCTATGAAAACAAAATTCTTTAATTCTTATACTCATTTTCAACCACATATTTACACAGTTAAACTCGAAACTTTTTCATACTTTTTAATCACATATTCTCCACAAAAATCCATGTCATTTTTCAAAATAATGGCCATCCAACGGGGGCCATATATAGAGAGATCTCCATATGTTAAAACAATTGTATTTTCAAGTATTTTATTTGCAACTTTTCTGCTTCTTCACAATTGACCAGTAACGGCAAATCAATAGCACAAGAAACCAAACAAATGCACCACAGTGCATCTTAGTAAACCATAACTTATTTCAATGTATCCGCTCCACAAAATTATGGAGACAAATGTATTCTTTATTGACCATTGCATTCTTTATGGAAAGTTCTAATTATTGGACATTAAATGGAGAAAATGGCCATGAAGAAGTTGCCTGTGAGTTTTGACACCATAACTGGGTGCTAGGTTGGGGGTGGGGATTTAAATTTGATCAAAATCTCAGGAAATGCAGCCTCAGATTCGGACAACCTAGTACCTACATTATCTCAAAGATCCTGTACAGCTGCTGATGGCACTATGAAAGATCTTTTGCATGTGGCCAACAATGGTGATTCCATTCCAAAAGGTAGGGACTGAGTGTTCTATACAAATGCATATTTGCTGAGTTATAGGTTGCAAGTTTGCGCATACATGGCCCATCTTCGACTAATCCCGCCATATCCTATGCAGATTGCAAAGTCACCTCCCCAGTGGCTGTTTGGTCGAAGTTGGCACAAGCCTCCGGAGTGTCTTCTTCACTTGGTGGAACCAGTTGCCAAAAGAGTGGCAAATATTTGTCCCATTCCTTGAGAATGGCAGCGCCTTTGCTGCTCCCGGTTTTTTCCTAGACAAGAAAACAGATGCATGTAGTATAAAAACCGTGCAGAGGGGTTTCCATTACGTGGAATGTCTTCCAAGTTTCAATGTTTTGAAGTCAGAAACCAAATTGTATGTTGGAAATTGATAAAGACATCCATGTATGGTTTCTGAGTGACAAAGAAGACAGCAATGCGATTTAACTAAACAAGCTGCAAGCCGGATGGTATAACGATGTTTCAACTTACAACATGGGCTTCAATAAGGCTCTTTAGTTGCATCTGACCGACCAAAGCAACCACTCTCTGGATCTTCACAATTTCCTTGTTCACCTGTTTGTTTTACATGGTATTAACAGGAGACAGAAAACTATAGTTGTACAATCGGAAACAAATAGTGCATCTTTATATGTGAACAAACACACACGAAACAGAGATATGGATCTTCATCCATGTGTATATATTCCCTGTCGAGATACACGATGATTACTAAACTTTTTTCAAGTTTTCAAGTGGGATGCTAAACTTCATTTTGTTTCAAATTGGTCAGTGAAAAAAATTCGTCACAATTTGCAAAGTTCGTCCATGTGTGTTAGTTTGACTGATGGAATAGATGACTTGGCAGTCTAGTCATTCGCCAACTAAACTGACACATCGAGTTTTTTTGTTAGTCAAACTAAAAGACATGGACAGGCTGTTGAAATTGTTACAAACGTTCAAGTTCGATGACCCAATTATAACAAAATTCAAGAACAATACTAGGAACAAAAAGAAGTTTAGTAACCAACATGAAATCGCTAGAAGTCAATGACCACTGGAAGTTTTAATCCATTTCCTCTCACACAAAACGTTCATAGCAACAAACCTTGGGGATAAGTGTATCGTCCTCATCAAGAATGTACGCCAAACCTCCAGTCATACCTGCTGCCACATTTCTACCCACCCTGTCGAAAGCAAGAGAGAAGCTCAGAATGTGGAAAACCCCACATATACATTCCATATCATATAGTCATTATTAATGAGAATACTCACTTTCCAAGCACCACCACACAACCTCCCGTCATGTACTCGCAACAGTGATCTCCAGTGCCTTCCACCACTGCTTGAGCAAGTGAGTTTCTCACTGCAAAACGCTCCCCAGCTTTCCCTCTGACGAAGACCCGACCTCCTGTGGCTCCATACAAGCAGGTATTCCCTACAATAGTGGCATCCTCAGGCAAAAACCCGGTATTTTCAGCAGGAGTCACAACCAATTCACCTCCGGCAATACCCTAAAACAAATTTATGTATTAGATGCTATAAAAGTTCTATTGTCCTCCCTAGCAAACAAGCCATAACTCATCAAACTTAATGCCGGAAGAGGTAGAATGAAATTGATGTCATTATATAATCATAACAACAGCAACAAAAGCAATTATTTCAATGGAAGTTCATCAACCAAATGTATGATTCACGTGTAAAAGGTTGATCAGCATACCTTCCCCACATAATCATTAGCTTCTCCTACAAGTCGAATGTTCATTCCAGGTGTCAGAAAACATGCAAACGACTGCCCAGCACTCCCTGTGAATCTGCATGAAAAAAGAAATACATCATTAGTTTCAAACGAGGTCATTGTATAATAAAATAACAACACTAGTGGAATGAAATTTCTATATTAGCCATTATATTACGTTAAATTTAGCTGCCCAGCAAAACCAGAATCTCCATATTTCTTTGCAATTACACCTGAAACACGCCCACAAACTGCTCTGTCCACATTGTATATATTTACAGTTTTATTAACCACCAGTTCTTTCTCAATTGCCTCTGATACCTGTAGATAGGAGAACATTGTTTTAGATATCAATTCCGTAAATAACACGATGCCATACAAAAAGATTGAAAAACCAGATTAGTCAGAAACAAAAGTCCAAATAAAGAAGCATTAAAAATCTTAATAATTGAATATCTTTTATGAAAAATATAGAGACCACTTGATGACAGTAAATATTGTTGTAGTACAACTTCGTCTGGATAACATTATGAAAACCAGAGTAAGATGTGCAAAAGTATGTCCGTGGGTGATCCTATGCTAGCTATTCAACCCTGGACTAATAGTTATCATATAATACTTTATTAGCTTTCCTACAATGGAATTTCAAGGTGAAATCCATGTATTTTGTGCAGCAAAAAAAGAAGCCTCTAAATGTTTAAGCAGCTCAAAGAATAGTGAAAATTTTAACCATTCAATGTGCATCCAAAGATAATAAACCGCTAGTTCCCTACATCTCTTCAGAAAGGAAATTTCTTATAGTTTTTTGAAGAATTCATAATTAAAATTCATGAAGTTATCAACTGAGCAACTGCTCCTAATCCTTTTTGTTGTCCGTAAAGAAATTCATTTTAATGCAACAATTATTACCTTTTGATCTGAAAGCAAGACATCATCCAAGACCGGACCATTGCTGTGAACTTCCTGATTCCTAATCATAGTGCTGCTCCATTTTGGTAATCCGACACTCTTAAGAACAAAAGACGTAGACGTTATTTTATGAAAGACAAAACTGATTCATGTAAAAATGGATTAGAAGTATACGTAGCATACTTACAGAAAGAATATAATTAAGATCAAGATGCTGAGTCTTCATCAATGAAATATCTCGAGATCTTAGTAGCTCTGTAAGTCCAATTATGTCATCCAGTTTTTCGTAGCCCAGTTGGGCCAACATTCCTCTTACCTGGCCAAATATTGTCAAGAAATCATTAACACGTGCTTCAAAAAGAATGTAAACATGTCATAGAACCCAAACCAGGCAGTGCCAAAAGGTTCAAGAAGTTAGAAACTAGATAAACTTGGGGTTGAAATCTGGGCTTTCAACATTGAATTAACTAATTCTTATATTCATTAAATTATCACATCCAACACAAACACCATATTATTGGTTCACCTAAAGCCTTCGTCTAGGAAGCTTAATATAGTTCTTTCTACAAGAATTTCTCCTCTTAGATATTCAGTTTCAAGCTTACTCAGAAATTGCTCATTTTCAAAAAGGTAGAAGTTTTCTGACAACCTCAAATTCCCAAAAGGGGCCCCACCCACCACACAGACAGAAAACAGAAATTAGCGGAAGGAAGAAATAAAACCAATCCCCCTCGAAGTCTTCTTCTTTACAACAGAAACTTGCTTTGGCGAGCAAGGAAATTCAACTTGCAGGAGCTTTTGTTCAGCACCCAACCCCAAACCCCAGTTATACTAAATTCAACTTGCAGGAGCTTCTGTTCAGCACCCAACCCCAAGTTATACTTTCAATGCAGAATGTTCTCAAATTAGCAGCAGCACAAGGAAGTCAGATACAAGTGTTCAGGAGATCAATCTTATTATACTGATGTTCATGATTTAGCAATTTCACACGTAGCCCTCGTTTGGTCCCCATTAATTTCATTTCATTACATTTCATTTTTCTCTCCTATTTTCAACCACACAATTTTCCATAAAATAATATTACATGTAAACCGAAAACTTTT